AAAAAGAAAACAAAAGAAAAAGAAGAAGTAGAAAAAAAGGGATTTGCAAATGGATATGAAGCTGGAAAGCTGTGAAATATGTTTTCCGACGAGAGCTTATGCGGACTATAAAATGTACGTAGAGAGAGAGAGAGAGAGAGAAAGAGAGAGAGAGAGAGAGAGAGAGAATATGTGAATGTGTGTGTATGTGAGCAATCGTGTAAAAGTGAGCTACGAAACGTCGTGAGCTCGACGAGTATTATTATTCGTGCTTGTCGTTCATCTGTGAACGTAGAAAAGCACATTGAAAATAGGCACAGTAATCGGAAATGGTTTTTCGTCAACATTTTCTATACAAAAATTTATACTTACTAGAAATCAAAATATTAGGAGCCATTTAAATCACGAATCATATAACAAAAAGAAAAACAATTTCAACATCTTGTTGTAAATTAAAATTAACATTAATGATAATTCTGTTGAATCAACTATTATAATAACCATACGTATTATTTTTATTTTAATATATTTTAATTTATAATTATTTCTTTTTTTAATAATTAAATATTATTTTTTTAAATTTATAAATTTATAAATTATATTTGTAATTATTTAATTTATTTTAATTTATAATATATTAAAAATATTTTAAAATATTACAAATATTATTATTCAATTATAATTAATATATATAATACGTATAATAATATTTATTAATATAATATAAATATGTAGTATATAATTATATATATATAAACATATTTTCAAACATATTTTATACATTATTTATATATATAAATAAAATAATAAATTATATAGTTATAAAATACTATATAATCGTATATAAAAATACTTATTATTATGCGATGTATAATAAAACGTGTTATTAAAGATTATTTAATAGAAAAAAAAAAAAAAATAAGAAAAAGAAATAATGCATAACGATTATCGTATAATAAGATATTTTTTATCGATGATTGGCTATAGAAAAAAATATACACCATAAGTAGAAAAAAAAAAAAGAAAAAGAATACTTTTCTTATACGAAAATTGCATAAGTATCTTAACAAAAATACTATACGAATAATCCGTGTATGTGTGTATATACGGTAACATAATTTATTCCGATTTTAATAAGTACCAAGAAGAGACATTAACGACATATGTGTAACTTACTATTAATATTTCCACTTTATAAATTGAAAACCAAATCCAACCGAAAAGGTTTTCTCATTTTAACTTGAAACATCTTTCTCTTCTCGTATACTAAAACGAGAATTAAACGACGTACTAAATTGATGGTTTCTATCTCATTCTCTCTCTCTCTCTCTCTCTCTCTCTTTCTCTCTTTTCTATCTTCTCTTTTTACAGTGAAAACTAGGTATATGACAACTATATACAGAGAGACTATATTTATAACATAACCATCTGTAAATATACTAAAGTAAAAGCATATTTCCGTGCTTGTTGACTGGTACCCATCGGATTTCATTATTTCTCTTTTTTCTTTTTCTTCTATTTTTCTATCTCTTTCTTTCACATATTTATATTTCACACCAGAACACCAAGTTTAAATCGTATTTTCTCCTCACAGTATTCTCTATTTCTTTATAAGCATCGCATCGTTACATACGAATCGATGATATAACATTTTTTAACGTTTCCTTTTACAATCTTGTGTAAGTAATAAAAACGAAAAATAAAAAATGATATAAGGAAAAAAGAAATAAGATTGGATACAAGGAAATAGTCGGGTCCTATCGTTTCGGTCAACGAATTTCAAGTTCTACGAAAGCAAAGCCCAGTTTCGGGCTCTGTACCAAAATCCGTAGTCTACTACTACTACTACTACTAATACTACTATGAATATCTTCTTACAGTTTGGATAAAAAGAGAAAACGAAATATACCTTATCATTCCTACCAAAGTTTCTCTACCTTCTCTTATTCGAGACATTTAGCTAGGAAAGTAATAATTAATGGCTTTCCTCCTTCTTTAAGGAAAAAGTTTACTGGCAAACAGACCAATAAAATCTTCTTTTACCAACCGACACCGCACAACGATTATATTCTTTATGATTTAATAATCGTTTAAATTACTTCAAAATAACCATTATCACGTAACCATTCTTTTATTTTTTTTTTATTTTTTTTTATTTTTTTTTTGCCTAAGTTTCATAATTAATTCATATTATTCAATATAATATAATTTGATAATTGATTACGAATTTTAATTCATTTTCAAATTTCTTTCGCCATTTGTGCGAGTACGATTAATTTGAAGATATTAAAAATCTCATTTATTATAGTAAATAAAATTAAAAATATCCAAATGTTTGTATAAAAGGAATAATTTAAAATTTTAACTCTTGAATATTATAACATTCAAACAATAATTAATTCATTGAATATAACAATATTACAATAATAATTTAAAATTAATAATTTAAATTATTAAATATATTTTATATAATTTAAATATTTAATTTAAAAATTAAAATATATATTATATATATATAATAATATAATTTAAATTTTATATGCATTAAATAATATACTTAATACAATAATTTAAATTTAAATAATTTATATAAATTACATTCTCGAATATTTTAAAATTAAAACAATAATTAGTTTAATCGATATAACAATACTCTTAGTTACAAATAAAATAAAATAAATCCAAAATGTCATATATATACACACATAAAATAATTAATATTCTAACCCTTGAATATTTTAACATATAAACAAACATTATTCCATTAATTAAACCATCCTTTAATTGATTCAACATGCCAATATCGATCTAATATCGAAGAAACTTAGGTCGAATGGAGAGAAACTAATCTTTGAAATCGAACAACAAACTCACACATATATACATACATACATAACTGTAAATATGTAGTGAGTTAATCTAACTGAAACTAATTAATTTTACTTCCATTCGAATAAATTCTCGTTGAAAATGGTAAGGTTTCCTTTTGACCTCGAATATCAATACACATATATATATATAAATGTATACGTGTATGAGAGGTGCGAGAAAGAGGATGCATTATTAGCGTTCAGCCTCGTTCACAAACTGTTTATCGTTTCATTCATTCATTCTCATTTCTCTTCATAGTTCAACTCCGTTGATGCACACTTCGAACGTTCTTCATGACTTTTACAATACTTTTTTTTTTCATTTTATTTTTTGCTTACTTCTACTACTTCATCTCTCTCTCTCTCTCTCTCTCTCTCTCTTTCTCTCTCTTTCCTCTCATTGTCTCTCTTTCTCTTATTCCATATCGAAATACACAAATCTTTTCACGCTCTAATTGACGCCCGGTTGTCGATCGTATTCTTCGTTTCATCGTGTACGAATGAACCGGCTTTTGTGATTTTTCCTTCAATCTACGTACCATTCTCTTTCA